CATTTGAAGATGTCCGGACTTCAACTCCCAGAAATCCCCAGCCAGCAAATGCTGGCTGGGGATTTCTGGGAGTTGAAGTCCGGACATCTTCAAATGGCCAAGGTTGAGAAACACTGGGTTATTACATCTGCACCAACTCTTTACTTTAAATGTATTTTTTAAATGGAGCCCATTTAAAAAAGAAAAGCTGTTTGAAACCAAACCAAAACCCCTGCATTTAATTTATGCTCCAGGAAGAGTTGATTCGACACAGTTGACGTGCTTCAGCTCCTTTGCTTCTTAACTTGCCTGAACTCCTATGAAGTTGCCATTAAACATTTATTTTGAAAGAATTAAACAGCTGGGGAGCAGCGGTAATAGAAACGTACAAAGCTGAACCCACGGCCACCAAATAAAACACATCCATCAAAGGGAGAGAATACCATCCCTGCAACAAGTGGGATAGAGAAAAAGAATGGGTTTTTTTTTTCAGAAGAAGGAAAATGAGTGAAAAATAAATAGCGAACACCTGTGCCGCATAAATTAACCAGCTGGTTGGCAGTTTTTCTTTTGACCTATCGGAAGGGTGACTGTGGCAAAGCATTAATAAGACACATTGGCTTTGAGAGATTCCTTTGTTGGGACCATTAATTAATGAACGACACTAGATAATGTTCAGAATTTACACCACAATTGGTGCTGCAGATGTGTCCCTTATTGTGAGATAGCATGGCCGAAAAAGGAGCGAGGGGGGTTGGGAGATTTCCCCCCACCCCACCCCAGACCTGTACAAAGATTTAAATGTGAACACCCCCCCCCTCCCCTCGCCCTGCTTCCGCTTTTATTGCCGCATCTATTCTGTTTGAAAATTATGTCCTTGGGTGAAAAAAAATATCCGGGGTGGTGATTATAAATTTCAGATTTCGTATTCCAGATTCAAGGGAGCGAGTTGCTTTTTAATTCATTGTTTGCGGGAATATTAGATGGAAGTTTCGACTTAGTTGGAGGCTGGCAGGGAGCGATTGTCACTTCTTTGCAGACAAAATGGACTGCATTTCCCCCCCATGGGAGCCCCGCAAGAACTCAACTGCACGTAGTCCTCAACGTATGACGACAGTGAATCCCAAAATGTTGGTTGCTAAGTGAGATCTTTGTTCGGAGAATTTGGCCTCGTTCTTTACGACCTTTCTGGCTACCGTTTTTAAGTGAATCGCTGCAGTCGTTCAGTTAGGGGCACGGTTGTTAAGTGAATCTGTCTTCCCCATTGGCTTTGCCAATGCTGCAACCGTCATAAATATGAACCAGCGTCTGGACCATGGAGATGCTGTAACGATCATAATTGTGAACAATGGTCATAGGTTGGTTACTTTTTTTCAGTGAAGTTGTAACTTCAACGGTCACTAAATGAATGGTTGTAAGTCAAGGACTACCTGTGCTATGCCTACACACACAAACACACACACACACACACACACACACACACTGGAGGTGGGAGAAGAATAACAATCCTGGCCCAATTCAGGTATAAAATGCCTCTATCTCCTTGGTATCATCCTTCATCTACTGTAGCTTTTGCCACTGTTTAG